TTCTGCCATGGTGGAGATGCACTGTCCAGTATGGTTGCCTCCCCTCACATGGGGCTATTGAACACTTGAACTGTGACTAGTGCAACTGAAGAACTGAGTTCTTAATTTAATTTCCTTTAAATAGTCACATGTGGTAAGTAAGTACCATGTAACAGGGCAGCCCTAAATCATTTTATCCTTGAGGGAGGCCTATGCCACTAGTGCAGAGGAATGCATCAGATTAGCAGAACTCCATTTAACTAACCCGCTAGGATTTTATGCTCACTGAGCAATTCCCCAGTTAGTCATTGTCTTAATATGCAGAGTAGCATACAGGAAAAGTAAATGTAAATACTGGAATTGTAGTAAACCAACGTATTAATTTTTCGTTATTATTTTTTCATTAAATGGGTGATCTTGAATCTGTCCCTTAGTAGGCTAACAACTTGACTTGGTCAGCATACCACACAGACACCCAGGCTCTGATATAGGGTGTCCAAGCCAAGGGATGATTACCCTGTAGGCACTGGTCTGAAAGGTATATTTGCCATCCAGTGTGACTCCTCAAACTGCAACAGACTCCCTGCCTCTTAATTCTACGTAACTCTTCCCATTATACACAGTACATTTGTTTTTCAATAAGTTGAAAGCATTGCTTACCTCTTTTTCCAACATCTTCAAGTCTTTATCATTCTTTTGAGATTCCTTCTATTTAAAAGTCAAAGAATAGTGATGATCAAATTTTAATGCCACAAACATCATAGCTGAATTTTATTTTTAGTTATCAGAAAAGATTAAGGATTCCAAACAGTTAATTTCTATTTTAAAAATTTCCCCGAGTCTATTACATACTTTGTAGGTGATTTAGTAAATGAGGGAAAAGGTTCTTTAAATCTCAAAATATTTCAGGCTTAAAAGTTTTTATATCAATAAAATTAGATTTGTGGGTTTTTTTCTTAAGAAGTCTGAGAACAGAGGAGGAGCTTTATGAAGAAAGCTACTGACTGCTTCTTTCTAATGTTAAACAGCAATACATTTTGAATTTTTAATTATGCTATCTCATAAAGAAAAGAATCTTACAAAGAGAAATCGACTTAAACTTACAGGCCCAAAAGAAGGGGGAAAATGCAAAGAAATAAAGACAAACTGAAATGTACAGTTCATAAAACAGGTAGAATGTAAGATCACCTCACCTTTAATCCCAGAGTCTTAACTTTTCTTGCTGAAGCAGGCAAGGTAGTATCTTTGTCAACAGTAAGATTTTGTTGAGATTCTGCAATAAATTGTACCACAGACAAAACACAATTTCAAAATTTCTTATTGCAATTATTAGTGAAGCAATATGTTATTCTTTTCTTGGCTGTACATTTCTAAATAATTAGTTGTACAATATATTTTACACATCTAACATTTTTCTGATTTTCCTAATGTTCCCTGACAGAAGGCTAAGGTAATTAGCAAAAGGGAAATGAGCCCTAGTTGGTTTGGCTCAGTGGATAGAGCGTCAGCCTGTGGACTGAAGGGTCCCAGGTTCGATTCCAGTCAAGGGCACATGCCTGGGTTGCGGGCTTGATCACCAGTAGGGGGCGTGCAGGAGGCAGCCAATCAATGATTCTCTCTGATCATTGATATTACTATCTCTCTCCCTCCCCCTTCCTCTCTGAAATCAATACTATATATATATATATATATATATATATATATATGGAAACAACATATCTGTTTTGTATAATTTTCCTGATTATACAATAATGTAATGATAAAAGCATTATTCTGTAGTAGACTCTCTTATAAATCCATCAAATACGAAACTTACTTATTTTTCAAATACAAAAATTTAACCATACCTATAGTTTCACATTTTTAGAAATACCATAACAGCTTTAAATGTATATACTATTATTCATAACTTTAAAACTTACGAGATCATATAACCATTATTTTATTTTGGGATCCAGTACCTTTTTGTTTTTTAAATCTTTGTGATTTCTGAAAGGATACTGGTCCTTTCAATACTTCTGAAGTTTTCACATCATAAGCACCTGGAGACGGTGCACAACCTAGAGAAACAGAAAACATTAATGTTTCTTCTAATGTCACTTAGAATCCTAAGTTAAAACATGCAAAGTAAAGTGAGTGATATAAATGTAAAAAATGCTATAAATAGACACTTTGTTCTTTCAAATGTAAAAATAGCACCCATTTGATATGAGGAACAATATCATCTTCCCAAATGCCCTTTATTTCAATTGGGTCAAAGGAATACAGGCAACTGAGCAAAACAGCAAAGACAGTCTTGGGATGAACATTATGAAAGAACAAGCAACATGGTTTTCTTTTTAAGGATTGACTATAAGAAATTATATATTTGGAATCAACGCTACTCAGAGTCACTGAGGTTAACTATCATCAGATTCTAGAAATGAAGCAAATAAAAGTGTCTAGCCCTCAAGATTTAGCCTGGAAAAAAATGTATAGTGATAATCTATCTCTGCCAGTATCAATATATCAAAAAATTTATAACGCCATAGACTATATTTGTATGTCTCAGAAATTCATATTTAATAACCTCATGTAAGTAACTGGAGTCCCAAATTAAAGGCATTTCAGAGTGCTTATGCGCAGCAAATGTAAGATCTGGCTTTCAGGACTCATAATAACAAAAATGTCATTAGCATAAAGCTTTATTTGATTGGAAATCAATAGAGTTATACTATTCTCTGAAAAGCTATTTACTTCAGAGTTTCATGCAAATAAATAGGAACAGCAAGGAGTTTGACAATCCCAAAGCAACTCGTACTATCCCCTAACTGTTTTTCAAATGGGATGATAAAAGCTCACTGGTACATCTTCACTAGCATTTTTTTAAAAAAGTGAAACAACAGAAAATATCCGTGTACTCCCACATAGCAAATTTTTCTCTGAAATCAATAAAAATATATTTAAAAAAATAATCAGAAGCTAACACAGGCAGTCCGGCGGTACTTTTGTATGCACATAAACATTCTATGCATTGCATTAAATAAATGCTTCAAACTTCCAGAACTTTTTAGTTTCTTTTCCTTCCACCTCAAATGGCTAGTTCACCTGCCATTTTGCCTGGCTAACTCTCACTTATCCTGCAGATCTCAGTCTGATGTCATCTCTCCCAGTTTTCTCTGAATCCTCCAATCAGGTTATAACCACCACACAGCAGCCTGTGCATATCATTCCTATCATAGAACTTCCCAGTTTTGCAACGGTGTATGTACTTATATAATGTACTTCTCCACTTCCCCACATTAGACAATGTACTTATCCATCTCCCACATTAGGCAAACTGCTTGGAGGTAGAGACTGTCTTAATCATGACTGTATCTCCAGTATTTAGCTCAGGGCTGAGGTGAGCAGTGTCGTGAAAACACAGAAAGTCACTAGGGATGTGGCAGACGGAATAGGGTTTTGTAATCAGCCAGATTAGGATTCAAATCCAGCTTTGTCTGCCAATCAAAAGACATTACTATGTGCCAGATACAGTGTAGTCACTGGGAGAAGATGGTGAATAAGAACAATTCCATTTCCATACTGTGTGACGGAGATTAAAGACAGTGACCATTAAGTGTATGTTATAATGGATAAATCATGGTTCAGCTCTACCACTTACAGGCTGCTCAGTAGTACAGTTACAAAACCCCTCAGTTTCCTCATCTGTAAAATAAGGACAGTACCAGCACCTTCCTCATTTGGCTGTTGGAAAAAATAAACCAGACCTAGGAGGAAAAATCTTAGCACAGTCCCTGCATAAAAAGCCAGCCTGTAATAAATGATGGTCTTACCAACCACATCCAAGGTTTCCTGGTTGTTGCACGTATGCACCTGCAGTGGTTAAGAGCACGGGATGGATTTCAAGAAGGCCCAGTTCGGTTGTGTAACACAGGAAATCTAAGTCTTGGTCATTTTATTAGTAAAATAACGAATAGGATCACCTCTCCAGGATGTTGGGGCATTAAAACAGAACTAATCATCTATGTAAAGACCGTCCCTATTAACTGCCATCACTTCATTTATAGTGTTTCCGATATCACCACCACTTTACCACCACAAACTGCCTTTACCAGCCTTCTTTCCTTTATGCCTGAATGGAATATCCAAAAAGAAATCCACACGTACAGACAAAAAGCATGGTCAGGTGTTTCTTTCTTTTTTTTCTTTTTTTTTTTTTACCGCAAGGCCTTCCGCACTGGACCATCCAATAGCTACCAACGTTTTCTCACACCTATTCCTTCTCTCTGCTTCAGTGTCTACACACACCGTTTATAGGCTGTATTCTCCAACGGAGTGGAAGCTCCACGGGGCAGATAGCTTGCTTCGCTCACTGCTATATTCTTATTATCCTAAGTTATGCTTGGCATGTAGTAAATGCTTAATATGTATTTAAGAAGAAAAAAAATGAATCAATTGAATGATCCCCATGCCAGCCCCCAAATCGCCTCCAATTGCCCTCTGACAGAGGGAACCGCAAGGGGCAAGGGGCGTGAGAGCAACTCCGGTCCCCCAGTCCCTTCCCCCGTACGCACCAGAAGGGTCATTGAATCGCTTCAGGGGCGCCTTAGGAAAGGACATGATGACCACCAGCTCCTCAAGCCGCAGGGAACTAGCGTTCCTCCACAACTTCCGGGTGCTGATCCTGGCATTACTGGCTTTCAAATTCAAATCTCCCGGCTCGTTACCCGCCCACCCCGACGTTAGCCAATTGGAAAACCAAAACCCTGGGCACACCAATCCAGGAAAGGAACAGGAAAAGAGCATGCGTACTCAGCTCTCGCCGCATCCAATGAGGTAGCTTGTAGGTCTAGGCTACCAGCCTATAGGAGAGCATGACTGTCTTCGCGCCCCGCCCCCTCCCGTGCCCAATCACGGCTGGCGTTACTCAATTGTAACCTACACACTAGCAGCATTCGCGCAAGCGCACTTCAAATCGGAAAACTTCGGAAAGTCGACCAGTGGCGTCACAAAGGTGGCGGTGAGTTCCAGCCTCGCTGGTTCCAACCGTCTCCTATCGCTCCTGGAAATGTAAACTTTTCCGGATTTCACTTGTTTCAAATTTGGCCCTGCCAGCGGCCTAAGTAGCCAATGAAAAGGGAAATACGCACTGAGATGTCAGCTTACATTCCTGCGCATGAGCGATGACCCGAGCGGAAACCGGAGCCGGGAGGCCGGGGCGTGGCCCGAGCGTGGAGATTCGGCGCATGCGCTCAGCTCGCTCTGTGCGGCTGCCGCCGGGAGGCACCTGGAGTATGTCGGCCCCTGTCGAGGAGCGCAGTGGGGTGGTTCCGTGCGGGACGCCTTGGGGCCAGTGGTATCAGACCTTGGAGGAGGTGTTCATTGAAGTGCAGGTGCCGCCCGGCACTCGCGCCCAAGATATCCGGTGCGACCTGCAGAGCCGGCACGTGGCGCTGGCGGTGGGTGGCCGCGAGATCCTCAAGGTAGCGGCCGGCCGGGCTGGTGCCCAGATTCCTCGCGGCCTCCCCAAACCCCCGAGCCCTAGGGCTCCCCATTTCCGTAGGAAGACTGTGGCGAGGCCCTTGGGCTTTTCTGATTGCGGTCTGGTCGGAGCCCCCACCTTCCAGTGCCAGTCCTGAGTTGACGCGGAAATTGGAGGAGCCTATTTTTCTGGCTTTATTTCTAAATCGAATGAAATTGCGCCTGTTATGCCTCTGCGGGTCTTCAGCCGAAGCAACTTAGCTAGGTCGTCAAAGAAATAAATATTTATATTCCATACACACGCTTCCAGGCGCCGTCCTGCGTGCCGGGGTGACAGCGTTGAATGAGACAGATAACTGCACTGGTTATGGCAAGTAGGGAAGCATAATAAAAGTAGCATTATTAGTAGCATTTATAGTTAAAATCAATTAAATCCAAGCTAGATTCCTTTCTCAGATTAGCTGCTCCAGATGTTTGACGGCAGCGGTGAAGACTGTTTGATGGGATACCTGGTTCTGCCATTTTTCTAGTTTTGAAACCTTGGGCAAGAGATTTTTCAGTGTCTCTAACTTCATCCATAAAGGGCAGTAATTACAGTACCATTTTTATAGGACTGTTTTGAGCATAACCTGGCATCCATGTGCATGAAGAGCTGGGAGGAGTGCCTGCTATGTAATAAGCACACAGGACATGTTAGCTGTTGTTTTTCTATTAAAGTGCTTCCAGTGCCTTTGAGAAAAGCACGACTGATTTGAAAGACTTTGATTTCTATCAACGTGGACCTAAATGACCTTTCTGAATAGTTCTGCAATTCGTAGCTTCCTGCACAGTGGTTTAAGGTTACAATTCAAATTTCCAATCACTTGGGAATTTAGCAATAACTCTTTAACTCGAGGATTTTAGGTGTACATTTGGACCACAAGTATTGACATGTGAAAGGAAATATATATTTGTTAACATATTTTCTAAAACAAATTTGGCAAAGCAACAAATAAATGGGTTTCAGCATATGCATTCTCCTTTAAACTTACATTTTGCTTCTTACTTAAAACCAGTTTCTGAAGAAAATCAGGAACTACTAATCTTAGATCTGTAGTATGTGCTAAAGTAATTTGTTAATGCCAATATGCCCAACAAAGAGAATGAGCCAGTTTGTTGTTGGTTTTTTTTAGAATGAGCCAGTTCTTAAAAGTTTTTTTTAAAAGACATAATTTCTTCTTAATTTCATCAGGAGAGCTCTTGTAATCTATTTTAATTGATAAAGCATTTCAGTTATTTTATATTTGGCTAGTCAATGATCAATAGTATTTCTTAATCTTCTAAAAATTAAGGATCCCTGATCTTTCTTTAGAGATCCCTGTGTTTTCTGTCATAGTTATATTCCAGGTTTCATTTCACTTGCTAGGAGGAAACATAGGGTTGAGCACCTTTTCAATGTGTTGAAATGGTTTAAAAATTTATCTCCCTATTCTAACCAAATTAGACAATTTTATGTGAATTAGATAGGAAATTAGGTAAGTCTTAAATCATGAAAGCTTTATAAGAATTAATGAAATTTTTGTATTTTTAATAACTTATATGTTTATTTTTCAGGGCAAACTCTTTGATTCTACAATAGCTGATGAGGGAACATGGACTTTGGGTAAGGGTAATCTATTATAAATCCTAGGGTCTTTTCACCAGTTAATTTTGTCTTGGAACTTAGTATGTTTTTCCTGTTGTATTAGGTGCTTTGTCTTTGCAGTTTTGAAAGAGATACTAATAGGAATGTATTGAGAGTAATTTTGTGTCAAGATTACCTAATGGTTTTTGAAAATATAAAATTGAATGAACTCTAATTTGTGATTTCTGTTTGTTTAGAGGACAGAAAAATGGTTCGTATTGTTCTTACAAAGACAAAGAGAGATGCAGCAAATTGTTGGACTTCTCTTCTAGAATCTGAATACACAGCTGATCCTTGGGTGCAAGACCAAATGCAGAGAAAACTTACATTAGAGAGATTCCAGAAAGAAGTAAGTCAGATAAGTGTATGCATATGTGTAGTTAAACATATTAGAAACAGAATAAATATTTTTTGAAAGTGAAGACCCCTTCATCAATATCTCTGCTTTCCATGCCTGTGTCTCAGTCTCATCTCATCAATATATTGGCTTGTTTGTTTTGTTTTAACATAAATGGAGACACACTGTAGATTGTTTGTATTTCTTTTTTAATAATATGTCTTAGGTCTCTTTCTCTTTTAGAACACATAGAAAAACTCACTTCTTTAACTGCTTCAGGGTGTTTTCTAGTTTGAATGTATTGTAATATTTAGCTATTCCCATTCGATAAGATTTAGATTTCCCTATTTATGACTGCTATTTGAAAGAAAGTTTATGCTTTCATCTCTGAAACTATTCAAACATTCAAATGTATATCTTTAGCCTAGACTTTTCTCCTGAATTTTGGACTCTTATATCCAGTTGCCTATTTAATATCTCCATTTGGCTAGCAAACATTAAACTCAGTACGTCCAACATGAGCTTTCTAACATCTCTCTCACATATGTTCAACCTCTAAGCTTCTCATCTCAGTTGATGGACATGAGTTGTTCTAATAAAAAAGTACACACACACACACACACATAGTCCTTGAGTTACATCGGACTCGACGTACATCGTTTCGTGGTACGTCGCCATCTCCCATTTATTTATAAAAAAAAAAGTTTCGTCATTTCGATGTGTATATATATATATGTGTGTGTGAGATTTATGTTTTTTATTATTTATTTACCACAAGTAAAGGTCAGGAATTGTTATCTTTCTTTCAAATTTTTTTACTGTTTCACTTCATTACTGCTGTGTATGTGCTCCATGTGAGTGACATAGGTACTTATGTAGGTGGGTTCCAACTTACGGCGAAAATCGCATTACGTCCCGCCGTAGGAATGGATCTCCGACTTAACCCGAGGATCTATTGTGTGTGTGTGTGTTTGTGTGTGCAAATATATATACTAGAGGCCTGGTGCATGGGATTTGTGCGCTGGTGGGGAGCGTGGCTTGCGGGGATCAGCCGCTGTGGGAGCACTGCTCATACCCATCAGCTGAGCGGCTATGGACTCACCCTCTGAGCAGCTGCTCCTGCTGTGGGAGCGCCGCTCATCGCTCATCGCTCATCCTGGTCAGCTGAGCAGCACTCCTGCTGTGGGAGCACACTAACCACCAGGGGGCAGCTCCTGCATTGAGTGTCTGCCCTCTGGTGGTCAGTGCGCATCATAGTGACTGGTCGACCTGTCATTCTGGTTGTTCTGCTGTTCAGTCACTGGGCTTTTATTATAGGATACATACACATACATACACACATACATATATACGTTTATATACATATATATGTATGTGTGTGTATATATATGTGTGTGTACACACACACACACACACACACACACACACTGAGTGACCAGATTATTATGACCACCTGACGTTAGTAGGCAAATTAGCTATAATTTCGCGCTGAAGTTGCTAGAGGGCCAGACCATTATAAACGTCTGAATAGCACAACATACCTAAGTATTGTTGCTGATCAAGTTCATCCTATCATGTTGATGGCGTATCCCAATGGAGAGGGCTTCTTCCAACAAGACAATGCTCGTATTGTGCAGGAGTCGTTTCAAGAACATGAGGGAGACTTTACCTTGCTTAGGTGGCACCACAATCACCAGATCTCAATCCAATTGAGCATTTGTGGGACGAAGTTAAAAGCCATCAGGCAGCTGGTTCCACAACCATCAAATCTCACAGAATTGGATAGTGCTATTCATCAGGCATGGTGTCAGATTCCTCGCATCACCTTTCAACATCTCATGGAGTCGATGCCAAGAAGAATCGCCCCAGTATTGAAGGCAAAAGGTGGCCAATGAAGTACTGATGGGGTGGTCATAATAATCTGGGCGGTCATAATAATCTGGCCACTCAGTGTATATACTTGAGGCCCTTGCACGAAGATTCGTGCAACAGGCCTTCCTTCCCCTGGCTGCTGGCACCGGTTTTCCTCTGGCACCTGGGACCCAGACCTTCGGTCTGGCTGCCGCCTTCTGTCTTCACTCCGGCCAGAGTCTTCGCTCCAGCCGAGTCTTCGCTGCGGCCGGAGCCTTCGCTGTGGCCGGAGCCTTCAGTCTTCGCTCCTGGCGCTCCCTCCACTCCCTGCCCCCCTCATAGCAGGCGTCATGCATGCATGCTGCCCAGAGGCCCAGAGTGGCTGGGATGGCGGGGCCACTGCTATCTTTGTTGGGTTAATTTGCATACTCACTCCTGATTGGCTGATGGGTGTTGCAGAGGTATGGTCAATTTGAATCTTTCTCTTAGTGTAGATGTATGGGGCCCTAGCGAGATAGAGCGTCAGCCAGGGGACTGAAGGGTCCTGGTTCTATTCCGGTCAAGGGCATTGTTTCTTGATTGTAGGCTCCATGTTGATCCCTGAAAAGGTTATGTGCAGAAGGCAACCAGACGATTTGTCTGTTTCTCTCTCTCTGTCCCCCTTCCTTCTACTCTCTCTAAAAAAATTAATGGAAATGTATACTCAGGTGAGGATTAAAGAAAAGGAGGTGTGGGAGTCATCCTCCATTCCTATCTGTGTCTTAACACCCTATCCATTTTGTCAGGAAATCTTACTGGTACTACCACTGCCACCCTTATCTGGACTACCTCTAATGTCTTGTCTAGATTACTTCAATAACATAATTGTTCTTTTCACTTCTACCTTTGCCAAGCTATAGTCCTCTCAAAATAGCAGAGCAGTTCTTTTAAAATGTAAGTCAGATTACAGTACTCCTCTTGTTAGGACTTGTTCAGTCTAGTAAAAGACAAAGTCTCTTATAGGTCTCCATCTGATCTGGTTTTCCATGATCTCCCTGACCTCGTTTCTTAATGCTGTCCCCCTCAGTCATTCTGCTCTAGCCACACAGGCCATTTTGCTGTTCCTTAAACATGTCAGGCCATTCCTTTTCATTTCCCAAAGCTCGGCTAACTTCACAGTTTTCAAGTCATTGCTCAATGAGCATTCTTTGAGTTTTGATCATTCTATTTAAATACTGTAACCTCTTCATTTCCCTTATTCTGTCCTACTTTTCTTTCCTTTTTTTTTTCTTTCTATAGTACTTACCAACTTTTAACATACTGAATACCAACTCTTAATACACTAGGTCTGGGGCCTGCAAACTGGCTCATGGGTCAAGTCCAGCCTGTTTTTGAAGTAAAGTTTTATTGAAACACTGCTATGCTCATTTGTTTGTGTATTGTCTTTCATAAGAGTAACAGCAAAATCGAGTAGTTATGACTGAGATTGTATGGTCTTCAAAGCCTAACATATTTACTACCTGGCTCTTTACAGAAAAGTTTGCTGACTCCTGCACTAGATAACTTTAATGGTTTATTATTGGTCGGTCTCTCTCTCTCTCTCTCTCTTTTTAAATATATCTTTATTGATTTCAAAGAGTAAGGGAGAGGGATAGAGAGTTAGAAACATCAGTGAGAGAGAAACATCAGTCACCTGCCACCTGCACACCCCCTACTGGGGATGTGCCTGTAACCAAGTTACATGCCCTTGACTAGAATCAAACCTGGGACTCTTCAGTCTGCAAGCTGACACTCTATCCACTGAGCCAAACTGGTCAGGGCTATTATCGGTCTCTTGTTAGAGTGTAAGCTCCAGTGAAGCAGGGATCTTTGTCTGTTTGTTCACTCTTGAATTCCACATGCCTCTAATAGTGTCTTCCAAACACTAGGAACTCAATAAATGTTTGTTGAAATGAAATGTCCTCCGAAAGACTACAGCCTGGGGTAATGCTTACTTCATAGGATTGTTGTGAGGATTAATTATGTTAATATATGTATAGCTCTTAGAACCCAGCCTGGCATATGCAAGGTCTCAAAAAATGCTGTTAAAACCTGTTTGTACCCTGATACTAAAGTGTTCAAATTAAAAAAAAGTGTTTTTTATCCTATTTATTTCATCCTATTTATCTCCTTTTTGCTAAAAAAGAATATTTTAAATACTCTCAAATGTATATGTGTTTGTCCATACACTTGTCAACATTGTAACACGCATATTGGATCTTCTAAATATTTGTAAGTCTGAACATTATAAAATTATAGTGTTAAGTTACATTTTGGTGATTACAGTGAAGTTTGGTATATATTTACATGTTTGTTGGCTATTTAGATTCCCTTTTTTTGTCACCTGCCTTTCAAATCTTTTTATCATTTTCCTTTGATTGAAGTTACTTATAGTTTTCCTCATAAGTTTTGTCATACGTTTTTGTTCATATCTTTTAGAATCCTGGTTTTGACTTCAGTGGAGCAGAAATCTCAGGAAACTACACGAAAGGTGGACCAGATTTCTCAAATCTGGAGAAATAGCTATTTTTTGCTGCATTCTGTGGACCCTAGCAGATGTTGCCAACTTGTTCAAAGGAACAGATTATATGGTAGAAGAAAAATGTGGATGCCTACAGTAACAAATTGCAAAATATATTTAAGTATGGTTCTAAAAATTGCTTTCAAATATGATTTACATAGGGAACCTCTTAAATACTGTGGTAACTATTCTATTAATATATGATAACTTTTTTTGGACTTGGTTTTGCTCAGCATGAAGTTTCATATGATGCATTTTGCTAATTTCATATTTAACCTATATTTTTAATACAAAAATTGTTAGGGTATAGATCATAATGAAAAGACAGGGTGCCTTCAGGGAAAATTAATTTTTTTCTTCTAATAAGTGTGATGTAGGAGTAATGTTCAATAAACTTTAAAATAGGAATTGTGTACCCTTTTGGCTAAGTATACCAGTCCACACAAGGAAATTATATTAATGAAAATTTTAGGAAAGAAAAAAATCCGCAAGTATATTCTGAGTAAGTGAACTTTAAGAGTTAATGAAAATCTCTGAATTAGGATATTATTTCTTGAGAGATCACTTTATGTCAATAAACTGAAAAGTAGTTAACCTCACAGTAGGAATGGATTAATATGAAAAGAGATTTGGTGAAGTGAGTATGATTATTGGCCAAGTGTGTTGTTAGCACCATAAAACAAATTATGGTCAATGATTATAAATCAGTGACATAATTTTGATCTTCAGTGATCCAGACATAGAAGTAAGAATTGTCTTGAAATTTTATTTCATCCTTTTATCTTTTTTATAAAAAAAATTTAAACAATCTCAAATGTATAGAATAGTTACAACTAAAGAACATAGAATTGCTTTTTTTCCTCAACCAATTTGTGTAAGTTGATGACATGATGCCCAATTACCTCTGTGTACCTTAGTGTGTATTTCCTTGAAAGGAAACTCTTACATACTACAATACAACCTTTAAAAGCAGGAAATAAGCATTGTCACATTACAACTATCCAATTCTCAGACCTTCATTCCTTTCAAGTTCAATTGTCCCAATGTCTTTTATAGCAAAGGGGTACAGTCAGAATCATGCCTTTCCTTTAGATGTCACATGTCTTAACTGTGCTTAAATCTGGAACAAGTCCTCATTTTCTCCTTGACTTTTACAACCTTGGCACTTTTGAAGATTACAGACTTTTTTTTTTTTTTTTACAACATTCCTCAATTTGAATTTTGTCTGATATTTCTTTATAGGTTCAGGCTTTGCATCTTTGGCAGGAATGTTAAAGAAGTGATGCTGTGTTCTTATTGCATCCTACCATGAGTTAATTTTAATTTGTTCTTTCTCTTCTGGTGATTACTTAAATTACTGTTTAAGCCCTAACCGGTTTGGCTCAGTGCATAGAGCGGCGGCCTGCAGACTGAAGGGTCCCAGGTTCGATTCCGGTCAAGGGCATGTACCTTGGTTGCGGGCACATCTCCAGAAGGGAGTGTGCAGGAGACAGCTGATCGATGTTTCTCTCTCATTGATGTTTCTAACTCTCTATCCCTCTCCCTTCCTCTCTGTAAAAAATCAATAAAATATATTAAAAAAATAAATTACTGTTTAAGTGATACCTGCTAGTCTTCTCCATTGTAAAGTTACTCTTTTTATGTGTATAATTGAGTACTTTGTGGAAGTTAGTTTCAAATTATGTTTCTTACTAAACTTTCATTTTATTGATATCTTTATGGACTCATTGTTTCCTACTTTATTCAGCAGGTTAAAATCAATTATTCCTATTACTTTGATTCTCAAAATTTTTCTAGATTTGGCCAGTGCCAGACCATTCTAAGTGGCTTCTATGTCCTTTTGACATGTCCCCATTATTATCTGAGCAATTTCTTAATCTGTCACAAGGCATACTAGGCTTATTATGCTTTCTCTGCCCTAGCCCAAGAATCAGCAATTTTTCCATGGAATCTTGGTTTTCATTCATGGAGAATGGTTTTTAGAAGTGAGCAATTACTGTTGATGTTTGTATAGTGCATACATTTACATCTATATTTATATGTATTGAAAACTATGTTGTTCACACTTGGTTTTTAGTATAGTCACTTTCATTTCTAATCTCTTAGGGTCATTTTTGTTTTCTCTCTGTAATTCCTTTCAACAATAGTGAGAAACCTGATTCTGTTATCCTTAATGTATTTGGTTCCCTATTCTAGGCCTTGTTGCTATGAATGAACGCCTTCTCTCACTGTGTTTAGGCTCCAGCACCCTATGCCAATGATAGCCTTCTCACCTGGGACCCTTACCCTCCACACTGGGCCACTGCAGCCCAGCCACTCCCTATGTTCATGTTACCCAGTAACTTTAGGAGTGAAATTATGGGGAAAAGGCTTTTTTCTTGTAATTGGCTTCTCATTTTAACATTTTAAAAATATTTTATAATTTGAATAAACAAAGTAAAATGAACTTTTTTGTTTGTAGTTTTGTGAATTTTAACATGTAGAAATATGTTACCTCCAAAATCAGGAGATTGAACTGTTCAATCACAAAAATGCCTTCATACTAGATTTGTCTTTTTAACAAGTTCATGTAAATGGAATCATGTGCTATCTTTTTTTAAAAAGAGCTTTATTGCGATTAAATTCATTTTACCCACTTAAAGTGTATAATTCAATGGTTTTTAGTACACTCACATATTCAACCATCACCATGGTCCATTTTCATTTTCATTGCCTGAAAATGAAACCCCATGCCTTTTAGCTGTCATCCTCCCCAGTTCCTGACCTAAGCAACCACTAATTTACTTTCCATTTCATAGATTTCCCTGTTCTGAACATTTTATATTTATGAAATAACTAGAGGCCCAGTGCATGAATTCATGTATGGGTGGGGTCCCTCGGCCTGGCCGGCGGGGCCGATTGGGGCTGTGGGAGGTTGGCCAGCAGAGGGAGGGGCCATGGGAGGTTGGCCAACCCTATCGGGGTCATCAAGGTGGGGAGGGGGAGGGGCTGCGGAGCACACTGACCACCGGGGGAGGCTCCTGTGTTGAGTGTCATAGCGACTGGTCAACCAGTCATTCAGTTGCTTAGGCTTTTATATATATAGATAATATGTGATCGTTTTTTACTGGCTTCTTACACTTAGCATAATGTTTTAGAGGATTTCCACATTACACTTAGCATAATGTTTTAGAGGATTTCCACATTATGTGCCAGTGCTTTATTTTTTTAAAAATATATTTTTATTGAATGTTTTAGAGGACGGGAGAAAAACATCAGTGTGAGAGCAAAACATCAACCAGCTGCCTCCTCCACACACCCTACCAGTTCATTTGTAAATTGGGATAACTTCATACATTTTGGAGGATTACATGAGATGATTCATATAAAATATCTGGCAATAGTACCTGAAAATAAAAACTATTATTGCTAACCACAAATATTAGATCAGAAATGTCTATTGTTTAGGTAGTATATAGCTTAATTGGAAATACAGATAAGGTTCAAGTAACCTTTTTAAAAATAACACTTGTGAGAATAGAGCTTATTAAATTATCTAATCTGAGTCGAGTGCAAAAGGGGACATTTAAGTTTTTCTTTCATCAGTAATCCCTTGTAGTGTTTACTTTGGTTCCTTTAATTAAACATGAATAGTTCAAAATTACATATTGTTTTAGTTCGGTAATAACCAGTAGATCTAACACAATACTTGGCAGTTAACTACCACTATCTGGAATTCTGTTTAATTAGGTAAAGAGGGTTTACACAAAACTTCAAGTGGGCTGAATCTAAGGGTGAAGTTGTATTAAGGATATCCATAGTAGTGATGAATCCAAATGATAAAAATAACCATGGTGCAAAAAATCAATTTTTAATGCACATTAAGCATATTTATCATGTCTACTTTAGAAAACCATTAGAGTAAAAGCTTCAATAATGGCCATATTATAGAGATTTTTTTCTGCTACCATACATCTTACTTTACTGAGTAGAGCCCTGGCTGGTGTTGACCAATGGTTAGAGCATTGGCCCCAGGCACCACAGGGTCATGGGTTTGATTCCTGGTCAAGGGCATATGCCTGGGTTGCAGGTTCCAGCCTTGCCCAGTCATTTGTGTGCAGGAGGCAACCAGTCGGCATGTCTCATGTTTCTCTCTCTCCTCCCTCTATTCCTTCCACTCTCTTAAAAATCAATGGAAAAAGTATCCTCTGGTGAGGATTTAAAAAATAGACTGAGTAGAGATAGCTTTATATGTGGTTCTGCCATCACATTGACAAAATAGTTTGTTGAATCAGAAGAGAAACAAATTAGAAAACCACCCAGCAAAGAAATGCATTTCAATCACTTTATTGAAATGTATATCCCCCTTAGTACTAAAACACAATGGTAGTTGGTTAGGTTACCTCTGCAAACTCAGAATTAACATGGATGTAAGTGAAATATTGAAATGTATCAGCCTTTTGGGAAAACGGAAAAGTTACCTACAAAATATATTGTTTACAAAAGTATGAGATATACTGTGGTTCTTTGGTTTATTTTCCAGTGCATATTTATTCATAACATGATGTCAACATTGGGCACAATCATCTTGGATGGACTCAGGCTACACATTGCACTGAGTGGTTTATAACACTTCTAACACTAGATCTCCTTATATTCACGGACTTACTAGCAAGTCCTGAACTCTACCTCAGCAACCTCATGATTATAAAGATGGGTATTTACTTAAGACCTTCTGTTGGCACAGTAGGGAAAATTAGTGAAAGTATATTCCCTTCATTTCAAACAGAGTTGTAAATTAGAAGCAATGGCAGTTTTATAAAAACAGTCCTTAGTAAAAACTTCTGGAGTGTTAAATGAGCACGTTTTCAGAGTGATGTTAATTTGAGTCACTAGTACAATAAAACGAATTTTCTCAATGTGACTATAGATTTTGCATAAAAACTTTTTTCCCTGGACACAAATATCACCTGTCTTATAGAAAAAATGTTAAAGATAATACTCCAAGATTAACAGGTATGTAGTTTTGCTTTATATAAAATGAATGTAATTTCCATGTAGCAATCAAGTCCACATCTCTGAATAATCTATTACTTGCATTATGGGTGCTAAGAAACCATATTCACTGCCTAAAATAGTGACCCTTATAATGTCTTAAAAGTGCATTTATGAAATATTGGTTTTGATGTAAACCTCATAATTTAAAATTTAAATTAAGTAGGTTACCATTTTTAATACCTCCTAAATATACTGACCCAATATAGAAAGTTGGATCAATGTTAGAAATGAAGATTCACAGTTTACCTTCCCAGACTTTTCATTAACATTTCACATTATGGACTTGGCTTTGTTTGTATGCCTCAGCTGAATTCAAATTTAAGCATAATTCCACTATAGCATAATGTTAATTAGGCAGTTTTCCCAAATCTGAGAACATCAATGCTAATCCAGTTACGATGTTTTGAGGATTCACAGCTTAAATCCACTATAACATTGTGGAATCCATCCTTCAGGATTGTGGCGAAAGGCTTCAGAGAAGTTTTTGTTGCTGTAATAATCCTATTTAAACAAACAAAAAATCAAGTTATTAGAAGTTTGCCAAACATAAGTATTACTGTTAAAAACGACTTACTGCTCATATCTAAGATTCATAATCATGTCACACGTAGGTGTGTTAAATGTTAACGTTGAGTTTTCAATAGGAAAAAAATCACAGAGTTATATTTAGATAGCAAGAATATATGTCAGTGACAATCAGGCATGTAACAATTTCCTAGGGTTCCAACTGCTATAGCAATGATACAAACTATAGTGTAATCTGCTGGTTTCCAAACACCCAATGTGAAGACTATCTGGCATAACTTATTTTTCTTTAAATACAACATCCAAGACCATACTGATTTTGCATATAAGGTAATCTCAAACTAGTTCATATATGGTTCAAACTTTTGGTCCTATTGTCCTACTCAGGCTTGTGTAACTTTAAATGAGCCAGAGTTTGAGTCTACATAAAGCAAAATGAATGATGTTCAATTAAATATTATTGTTTTAGTGCTTTTATTTTTTATTATTATATTTTAAATAGGTTTTTTATTGACTTCAGAGAGGAAGGGAGAGGGATAGAGAGAGAGAAACATCAATGATGAGAGAGAATCATTGATTGTCTGCTTCCTGCACTCCCCACATTGGGATCGAGCCCACAACTCGGCCATGTGCCCTGACCTGGAATCGAACCATGACCTCTTGGTTCCTAGGTCGATGCTTAACCACTGAGCTATGCTAGCTGAGCTAAGTGCTACATTTAAAATTCCAGTTATTCAACAGGATGCTGTTTCCTAAGCTGATAATGTAATGAAATGGCTAAATTGCATACCAAAGGTTGGATATTTCCTTATTGTTAGGGTGTTGTGCCTTGAATGTAGTTAATGCCCTAAAATATTAGCTGACTAGATCAGTGAAGTCATTATCCCCTTTGTAGTCCATTTTTGTTTGGAAAATAATTCCGATTTTAATTCTTGAATTATAGAAGAAAATTATAGCATTATAAAAATTTCTCTATATGGGAAATAACTATGAACCCAATTTACCAATTAAGGAACCGTTTCAGGAATTGTTGGGAGGTGGGTTATTCTGTAGTAACTATGCTTCAATTGCCGTGCAGTCCGCCCAGAAACAATCCATTTCAACTTCTGAACATTTGGTTTGGAGCACTTGTTTGATGAATATTCAGTTAAACACTTGGATACGAGCTCTTGCCAGAAGGTCAAATCTCTGCCATTTATCTGTACATAAATTTTAAAAAATTAAAAAAAAAAAAAGTTCTAAGGTATTTAACTACAGTAATACTTGTAATCTTATTAACTTGTGTCTTTCCTTGTCAAAATATTTGAAGCTACTCAAATTTCAAACACATGGTATCTCATTTTAGTTCAGGAGACAGTACAAGTGGATTAGTTTCTTTTACAGCTGTTAACAGGAATGACCTTGACATACCTTGGAATGTTTCTGAAGACATTCTACGACTTCTGTTAACTCTACACACTTCTGTGCTTGGATCTCCAATGCAATGATAGACAATGCCAACACAGAAGGCTAAAAGAAAAAAATTTAAGGTAAATGTTGACTATAAAAACAGGTACATAAATAGGTTTACTCTTTATATAAAATATTTACCCTTGCTTTAGAAAATAGGATCCTGCAGTGGCATGCCTTAAGTTGAGCTTCTAATCTTTCAAAATTAAGGCTATTCCTCCTTTAAAAAGAAAATGAGATTAATTTTATGTAGATCATTTTACATCTAGTCAAAAGTCAAATTTTTAGAAAGACACAAGTCAATTTTAAAGTTTAAGTTTATACACACAGAAAATAAATTATTTGAAGTAAACAATTCCTCTTCCTTCAGAGACATGAACGCCTTAAAAATAAGTAACTCCTTAAAGATAGCAAACATGAATTTTAAGTCATTTGGGCCAAAAAAATAAAAAGTGTCATGCCATAACTAACAAGGTTTCTTTTTATCTTTTTTAACTTAAAAAATATCTTTATTGTTGAAAGTATTACAGATGTCCCAGTTTTTCCCCTATTGACCCCTTCTAGCCCACACCCACCTCCTGCCCCAGGCCTTCACTATGGTTTCTTTGGATTTTAATAAATCTAT